AATAATTTATTACTAATAAAATTTTTATTAAAAATTTCGATTGCACCAAAAAAAAACACAGTGTACAGTGGCACCATTCATAATATTGTCAAGGGGTAAAAGACGTTATTGCCCGAAGGAATGCGGTTGTGATAACTTATTGTTCATCGGTACCATCATAATAATGTCAAGGTGTAAAAGACGTTATTGTCCGAACGAATGCGGTTGGGATTACTTATTGCTTATCCGACAAAAGCTTACCTTTAGTTTCTCATTTTATTAAGTTTAAAAATTTTAATTTTTTATTTTATATTATAATATTTTTAATTTTTCATTTTATTAGATTTATAAGTTTTAACTTTTCACTTTATATTATAATATTTTTAGTTCCTTATTTATTAAAATTGAAAAAAATAACTCCCACTTTATAACATTTTAATAATTCTATTAGTTAATTTTTAACTTTATTAGTTGATTATTAATTTTATTAATTAATTGTTAGTTAATTATTAATTTATAAAAATTTTCTTTCAGTTAACATAATTAATATAATTAATTTTATAATATTTCATTAATTTTGTTAACTGACTATTAGTTGATTGTTAGTTGACAAAAATCTACTTTCAGCTAATAGAGTTAATAGTCAGTATAAAATGAGGACAATTTTCTTCGATTTTAATAAATGAGAGGCGAAACTTATAAATCTGGTAAGGTGAGGGGTTAACTATTGTATCTATAATTTTGATGATTACAAAACACATTTGAGTGACTAATTAGTTTATTTAAGTGTATAGTTAAATTGCTAAAAGATTACAAGCAAACTTGGATTGCATTAAAAATAGACCAAAATGATAAAAAAATGTGCAGAGAGCCAGCTCTTGAAACCTACAACCGGCTCTATGAAATGGAAGTGCAGAAAACTGGCTCAAAGAGATTGTAGCGGGCTTTGGAAGCTGCAGTCGGCTCTACGGGTAAAAACTTAAAAGTTAGTTATTTGGCGTAGGCAGAGAAAAGATGCAAAGCTGGCTCCAACTTTGCAACTGACTGTGAGAGTGCATTTAATGTACAACGATCGAGTTATTTGAAGATTATTTAATATTTTTAAAGTTGGAATCCCAAAGCTGACGTTATGATTTGCAGCCGGTTGTGTAAGAAAATAAAATGTGCAGGAAACCCACAAAGGCGACTGTAGAATTTTTAAGTTGGCTCTACGAAGAAAACATAATGTAGGAAATCCGCAGAGTCGACTGCAAAAAAGCTAAGTCGGCTTTGTAGAGCCAGCTGCCGGCTGTGTAGAGCCAGCTCTAGGAAGTCAAGCCAACTGTCCTGACAATCCTGCAAGTCGAGCTTTGCGTTCTGCAGAGCATTAAATGACTTCCAACGGCTAGTAACGGCTATTTTCGACCATGTGGTTATAAATATGGTTGGTAAAAGATCTGAAACAAGTTTAGAGAGCATTGCATTGAATATCTTTATCTACCTACTTGAGTTTTTTTATTTTTAAGAGATCTTTAATTGTAATCCTTTTCTTATTCTATTTATTAGTGATCTTGGGGATGTGATTAATCATTCAAGAGTAATCTATAAAGAGGATTCTTGGGGTTTATATGTAAAGAGGTGAGGTTTAAGAGAAATACTCATCTTCTTGTAAAATGATTGAGTGGCTCCTTTAAGTCACCCTTGTTTTCTTAGTGGAGAGTGTGGAGAAAATTTTTGGTGAGTAAAGCCAAAGTAGAGGACTAGGCTCTAAGTGATTGGATCGAACCTTTATAAAATTATTGAGTAAGCTCTTCTTCTCTACTCTTTTAATTTTGGTGTTGTGGTTGCAAAAAGGGAGAATTTTTGGAACTTTAATTCACCCCATCTCTTGGAGTACATTGAGTTAACATTAAAAGTGTTATAGTATAAGTTGAGGGGTTAAAACCTTCAAACTTGATAAGTAAGGGGTTAAAAGTAGATTTTTGCCTCCGTCTAAAAATAATTGCATGTTTTTTAATTTTTTTAAATTAAAAATTTGAGAATAATTAATAGATTTATTTATATTATTATTAAGAAAAAATTAAAAATAACTATTTTAATCATAAGATAAATAATTAAAGTAAAAAGGTAATGATAAAGTTAAAATAAGAAAAAAAATATTTGTTTTTTTAAAATATAAAAAAATGATTATTATTTTAAGACAGATTTAAAATAAAAAACTCAATTATTTTAGTACAGAGGGATTATAATTTTTTATTAATTTATATAAAAATTACAAAAGTAAATGTTATTTTCAATACTAAAGTCACTTATATAATTTTAATTAAGATAGTTGATAAAATTAATGTCTATTTTTATATTTTTAATAAAAAATAAATATATTCTTAAAAAAAA